TATATATATATATATATACACACAATTATATACATATATTAATGTACACTTGAAGGACATGAGGCATGTTGATCTAACCACATTATTGTAAAATATGTGCTTCATCTTCTCTTCATGTATAAGGAAGTTAGTGCAGCTCATATTGGTCCCTGCTCTGTCTCATTTACCTCTCCTGCAGGCTTCATGCAAAGGTGAAGGGAAGTGTGTGTGACGTGCGTGGGTGTGCGCTCCGCTCTGCAGCAGCAGCTCCATGCAGGCCACACTCCCTGAGGCACAGCAGTTGTACAGAGGAGTGACGCCATCGATGGTGGCAGCATTCACCTGCAGGAGCATGTGGAGTCAAACCCCTGCATTACATTCCTGGATGTGAGACTTCAAGCATCAGCAGGAGGGTACTTACATTAGCTCCAACACTTAGTAACGCTCTAACACATGCTACGTGTCCTGACAGACAAGCTTCATGGAGGGGCGTCACACGGTCGATGGTGTTGATGTTTGCATGATATCCCTGCAAGCAGACACAGGATGGGAATCATTGCTGACTGCAGCTTTGATGCAGCAGAAAACAAACAGGTTTAACACCCAGAAACAGGCCTGGCAGCCAAGCCTCTGTGTGGCCAAAACAAAATAAGATTTTGGAGGCCTCAATCAGTTCATTTGAACAATCTACTATAACATCATTACAGCTCTGGCAGTGGTGTTTACAGTCTCCTAACTGTATGCATAATCTAGTATTACTAAAAAAAGAAAAGAACTAGTATGAATTTTATAAACATGTCATGTGGGATATACCTTTTGGCTCAAACTGCAACAATAATGTGCAAAAATAAACTTGTGCAAGAAAAAACATAGAATATATCTTTGATAAAAACATAAATTAAAATGTACAAAACAGACTCAACTGAATCAAACAAACCACAAAATATCAAAATTAAATTTTCTCCAATTATCAGTTTGTCTGAGACATCTACATTATTCATTTCCTGCCTGTGTGTTTATCTGACCTCAAGATCAATTTTGTTTTTGTTGTTTTTTTTATGTATAAGTCATTGGTTTAATATGGATTTGTCTTGATCTCTGCAGCTGATCTCTGGGCTGATCATTTCACACACCTGCTTAACTCCACCCAGTTCTCATTACTCGCTCATCTGATCCACCTGAATGAGTCGTATATAACCTGCCTTCAGACCAGTCAATAGTGCCAGATTATTTCGAGCCATTGGTGAAACTTATTCCAGCATTCTTAGCTCTGAGTTTCTGATCCTGACCTGTCTGCCTCTCAACTTCTGAGCCTGCCTGTTCTCATCTGATTCTGAT